AAATGAGTTTCGGGGACTCCTAAATTAATGTTGTGTAATGTACATCGTTTCTAAAGGCCCAAACATTGTTGGGAACGCGTGGTATATTTTATCCGGCCCGATAAAATAAAATATGACTAAAGTAGTCCGAAAAATACAACTTTCGGGGCCGATTGGACACACCGGGACATAACGGGATGACCTCCCACCAAAGTGGGGGCCACCCCACGTTTTTGTTTGCTCCAATTGACTGAATGGGAGCTGGAAGAGACAAGGAAGGGGGGCTGGGTTCGGACTATGGGTAGAGGGGATGGATGGAGGCCAAATCCCATGTCCTACACAATAACTCCCCATTTGATTGAGGAGAGTTGTCTCCTATCATTTCTCACCCTCAATCATATGACCAAGGCAAGGAAAGGAGCTCAGGAGAAGACCCTCACAAAGCTCATAGCTTGAAGGAAGCAAGGAGCAAAGGAAATCCAACCCAAAAAGGCTAGGAATTAAGGTGAGAACTCAAATAGTTCTTGTAACTAGTTTTTGTGTATGATTTTTTTTGAGAAATCATATGGTGGATTAAACATGATGTTCTACACGTTTAAAAGTGTAGAATATTGATATAAAGTGGTGATATTTAACTGAGAAGAGTTGGTGAATCGATAGGAGTCGAAATCGCCGGAAACCGCCACTTTAAGGGAGCTGCCCGTTTTCTGCAGAACACGAAAGCCGCCCGGCTTTCGTGAAAGCCGCCCGGCTTTTGCCCAGGCAGTCCAGCTTTGCCTTTCAATCGGCCTAGAACGGGGATTTATCGAGGGGCGTAACAAAGGCAACTATTGTAGCACATCACGAGGTGAGGATGGCTGACTATATTGCTTATAATTAGTGAGTTAATTTCATAAGAATGCCTAAACTTATTAGATGGGATTTTCATGGATTATTAATGATTAATAATGCCTAAATGAAAATAATATGGATATGAGTAAGTGAAGCATGATATACAAATTTAGAATAATTGTGTATGATTATGTGAAATGAATGGAACGGCTTGTTAATGGAATTACTATGATGACATTGTGATAAAATATACTTTACTTCATGTATGAAATTCATGAATGGATTAAAGTGATATTTTTGATATTGAGATTAAACTATACTTGGGTTGAGAAATCAATGGAAATGAAATGCAAATTGGGAAATAGGAACTTGGCATGTTCTAAGGTTATCCAATTAGTATCAAAATACTAGTCGGGGAATTAATATAAATAAATGATGAAACAAATCCTAAGAGGTAGGATTGTGAATAGATATGCCTTAAGTAGTCTCAAGAGATACTTAAGGATGAATGGTATGAACACTAAGGTGTGATAGGGGTAGGCCTAAAGGCCACCTACGGGAATTGATTCTAGGCATAGGACTTGCTTGAGAATTTGATTATGAGAATAATTAGAGTTGGACTCTAGGATGACATGGAGATGTAGTTGGGCCGAGCCCATGCCATGTAATATGATTAGCATGGAAACGTAGTTGGGCCGAGCCCTTTCCATGTATATGTGACCTCCGTGGAAACGTAGTTGGGCCGAGCCCTTGCCACGAAGTTATGGTTGGTATGGAAACGTAGTTGGGCCGAGCCCTTGCCATACAAATTTTGATATGATATATTGAGCTAGAGGATTGTATAGAGATGTAGTTGGGCCGAGCCCATGCTATACAATTGGGGCTCGATGGGACCCCACGGGGTTATCGTGACTCGCGGTCACGGGGGAATGGAAAAGATGAATTCTAAATGAGTATGGGCCTACGGGCCGACTACTTGACTTTATGTAAAGTAAGTACAGTTAAAAGAAAGAGGGGTAACCGATGGTTATGGCCTATAATATAATAGTACCCTAAGTTGAGGGTCTTGGAAATTAAAACGTTGATTATACTTAGTATAGTTGCTATTGTACTTGTCAAATATTTCCAAGTACTGACCTCCCCTTCACGGGGGAGGCCACCTCACAGTTTCAGGTAGAACTTGAAGGTCGCTGCCATTGCCCGTTGCTTCGGGAGGAATCAAGGGAAGAAGACGTGGTTCGTGCTTCTCCCGTTCTATTTTAAAAACAATTACATTAATGCTCATGGATAATATTTTCTGAATAATTACTTTGGGGGCTTGCATGCCTAGTTATGCCAAGTGTGGCTTGAACAATTGTATTAATGCTTCCGCTGTTTTAAATGCATGTTTTACATTATGTTTGTTTATGGATGTACTATGTGTGAATGATATTCATGACGCCTTTTATAGTATGGATGAGTTGGACTGCGGTTGACTATTCGTACTGTACGGCGGGTTGTTGACGTGTCCGGCTAGGTCCGGGGCGTGACATACATTGTGTCTCATTTTATCCTAGTATTAACGTGACAAAATAAATGTACAATTTTTGGGTCTATGAAACATTACCGGAAAAATAAAAATGGAATAAGGCAAAATTTCTTTGCCTTAATAGGATGCTAAAATCCTACCGGCAAATGCTATTTAAGACTCAAAAATTATTCGTATGTCACGAAGCTCGAAAAATAAAATAGATGATTGACCGGGATTTAATACCAGATACGTACAGGCCCCAGAACACTGAAGACGCAAATAAAAGAAATACTTCAGCAATCAATTGAAGACAAAAACAGACGGAAGTTAATGCTGCAACAAGTACAAGGACCTACAGCATGGACGCACAAGTCTGAAGTCTAAAAAGGCATCAACAGTGGCTAGGCGGGCAAAACAAGCAGAACCCATACACTCCGAAGAAGAAAATAAACAACAAGTTGTTTATCTTCTGCGAACAAAATTCAACGCACAAGATTGATATATCCTAACCAACGGATAAGATCAATTGACCGGAGAGCCTATAAATATAGGCAGAAACGAAAGTTTCTAACCAAACATTTAAGCATCCAAAGAGAGAATTTCTATCCAGAGCATTTACGAAAGATCTAGCAAAAGAGAAAGTGCTATTCTAAAACTTTACTCTCTGCTTGGACTTATGCTTCACTAAACTTCCAGTTTATAAAATCTTCATTGCCATACTATAGAAGTTTAGTTCATAGTTGGAGGTTAGAACTTTCTTAAAACAAATCACATATTGTTGTAAACACTTAGGAGAACAGTTGTTCGGATCCTACAGTGTAAGTAGATAGATAGAGTACCTTTTGATCCCCACTGGGTCATTAGAGAAAAGTCTAAAGGACTGAGTAACTTTAAGTGGTGCTATACTCACTGTGAAAAACCTTCAATCTAGGCCTAAGTGTTGTAAAGGCTAGGTTGGCACTAAGTGTATTGGGCTTAATACTTTAGTGAAATCCATCTGAAAGAGGGTGGGACTAGACGTAGGAGGATTACACCACCTCTGAACCAGGATATACTATGTGTTGATTTACATTCAGTAAACACAGCATACACTTAGCACTTCTCACAAAAAGATTGAAGTTTGCCAGCAGAATCTTAAGCAGTTGTCTTAGCTGACCCAACTGCTTATCCTACTGCTTAATCATTTGCTTTCTTTGAGATCATTTTCATACCCGAGACGCATCTCACCATCTCTAAAAGGTCTGCTCTTTCATCAGCCTGCCATAAATATCATTGTCAAAAAGTACGTTCAATTCCTGAAAGCCAGATCAAAATCTGAGCAGTTGCCTCAGCAGTTCCCTGCTTCCAAGCCAACTGCCAAGCCAACTGCTATTCATCTAAGTCCAATCTTCTCCAGATCAGAAAGTGATTAAAACATTCATTATATAAAGGGTAAAGACTTCCGTTGTGCATCTATTAATCTCTTAAAAGATTATAGATCAACTCCTCTAGAGGGAAATCTCTGTAAAAGTTGAAAAGATTTAAAAGTCTATTCACCCCCCCCCCCCCCCTCTAGACTTTTACCCTATCCGGGACCATCACTTTTTCATTAAAATCTTGACAAATGTCCTCCGGCATTTGTCTCACTGATTTTGGTGGTTTGCCTTCCGGGGGTTTAAAAAAACAAAAAAGAAGATCTTGTTTGATGAATTGAGGGCTTTATATAGGCTAAAGAATGACATCTTTTAGTCTATTCGAACCCAACCATCAGGCATGGAAGAAATATTTGATCAGAGATCATATGAAAAAGTGAGGTTTTCCCATCAAGAATAGGCTGCACATCGTTGTGTTTGGTGTAGAAATCGACGCAATCGGCACCGGTTGTAGCCTGACCTCCGCCGGTTCTATGTGTTCACGGGTTTGCCGTAGGGATTGAAATTCAATATTTTCTTATTTTTTTGAAAGAAAATTGTTCATATTTATATCATTAATTTCAGGAATCGTTACATCAATCGAAGAAAAATATATATATCATACCTAATTCCAAGTAACCTTCACTAACTACGACTGTGTAAACCCTACGATTAGAAATAGTAGAAACGGTCACCTTTTAAAAGAGCAGCACGAATCGCTAAACATCAAACATGCTTGACACAACTATGAGTGATCCTATATATAGATCCGTATACTTCTAATGACATAAAAATAAGTTAAATTCCCAATTAACGCGGCAAACCTAGCAACATATACTTTAACAAGAAACCAAACAATAAAATAAAATAAAATAAAAATAACTTATAATAATGAAATTCTTGAATTTTAGCATCTTGTTCAACTCATGGGAGTTGTTTAGGAGGAGGTCGAACCATGAGTACCGTTGTCCATCATCACTGGTCGAACTTTGACCTTCGCTAAAGTCACCGCTCCCCTAACCAACTCTCGTTGCCCCTCATACGTGCTTAAGCCGTAGCTCGTCGTCATCGTGGTCATGGTACCACGACCTCTCGCAGCTGAAGCAAGACCTGCACCATACTCACGTTCTGACCTTCTATGATATGGCTTCCCTTCTATGATATGCCTTCCCGTTGAAGGTGAGAGAAGACAATCCTCAAAAACTCTAAAATCGTCGACAAAGAAAACTTCGCACAACCCAAATGTCCCGTGGACTAGGGAGAAAATTGCAGCTACCCAACATGAAAAATAAATTCAATATTTTCGTTTGAATAAACACAAAATGCACTAAATTAAATAATAGGCCGGGGCTTGGTATGTGTGTTTACAGAAATAATGTATGTGTAACAGTCTTAATTATCGATCGATCATGAGCTGAGGAACACTGAAGAAATTTCCTAAATTAAACTATAAATTCGAATGATGGATAAATAAATTAATCAATTCAAGACGCCGTGGCCTGTTGATCGTGATGGAATGAAAAACTCGATCCGATCCGTAAGAATGGAAGGTGCTAGCTAGCTAAGCAGGGGCGGACCGTAGTAGAGACCCAGGGGGGCTACCGCCTCCCCAACAAATTTTTTTTAGTGTATATATATACGAAAAATAATTTTTGCTCTTCCAAAAAGTATTTTGAACCCCCAAAAATATTTTCGGCCCCCAAAATGACTTTCCTGGGTCCGCCCCTGTAGCTAAGCAGTGAAAAAAAAGCGGTGGGCGTGGTTAAGAGTAGTGTAGCAGGCGGCGGCGACGGGATGGTGATCAGGGTCAGTGGTGGCGAGGTCAACGACGGACTTGAGCTCATCCCATTTGGCATCGACCGGAAACAAGTACTCGCTCCGATCATCGTAGCCGCAGCTGGTCGGAGATGACGTCAAGAGACTTGTGAGGGAAGTAGTTGTGTAGCGCGACGACGAGCCGCCGCCGTCCTCCGCCCCATTGAATAGGCTCATGAGCTGTTGGCGGCTTCTTTTCTCCTCCTGCAATTCCGGCGCCCCTCCTCCTCCCATCACCAATTCCAACCCGCCGCCGTTCTGCCGCTGCTTCCGTGCCTCCTTTGCTTCTTCATTCATGTTGCCGCCGCACCTCTTGTGGTTTGGTGTGTTCCTCTTGAAAATTCTACACAGTGTCCATATCTCCTGCGCGCATGCATGCATATATAATTAGTTGCATATCATTATCCATCATCAAAATTTGTTTATCATGCATACATTAATACATAAAAACAATTACTTATTTATAACTAAAATAAAGATTGTTTATAAAAATATAAACAGTGAAATCATTGTAACTTACAATGATTTCACTCGTTGTAAAAATATAAAAATATAAAGATTTTCACTCGTTGTAACTTACAATGATTTCATTCACAATGATTTCACTCGTTGTATAAACAGTGAAATCATTTTTATAAAAATATAAAAATATAAACAGTGAAATCTTTATAACTGATATAAAGATTGTTTATAAAAATATAAACAGTGAAATATAAAAATATAAACAGTGAAATCATTCAATTAAGTTATCTTGACACTCGTAAATATTTGTCCTAAGTTTGTAAATAAGTTTTATTTTAGTAATATTTCGGAAAAAACGCTTGTGATTAAGTTATCTTGACACTCGTAAATATTTGTCCGAAGTCATACATACCGCTTGATCTTGAGTAGCAGCTGGTGCTTTGTGGTCAGGCGGTGGAGCCATGCGAAACTCATGCATCATCCAATCAGTTTTGGTTCCTTTTCCTGCGTTTCCCCTGTAGAAAACCAGCGACTTCTTGAGTCCGATGATACAGTCTGCCGCGGCGGCGGCGCCCCCACCGGAGGAGAAAACGGGCTTGTCTATGCCGGTTGCCTTCCAGAACCCGGAACCTGTTACCCTATTTGGCCTCACGCTGTTCTTGTATTTCCTTCCTCTTATGCAGAAGAAGTACCGTTCCTTCACATTGTCTCCCGCCACTGCTGCGCTACTCCCTTTTTTCATTTTCACATACATCTATTAATTGCTGTGTGTATATATACGGAGTACTATATATACATGCATATACATGTTAATCATTTCACACTCCCTACTAATTAAAAATCGAATTCACACAAAATGTATAAGTACTAATTAAAACATGCACCAATACATTTTATATATAAGATCACATTATTCCCCAAATGGGAGGTGCAAAATTAGGATTTTTTTATATAATTGACCTAATAGTCGGTGGCGTATCCAAGGTGGGGGCAGGAGCATCTGCCCCCACTCAACCTCCACCCAACCCCCATATATTTATTTAAAATTCAATTATACATATATATTTGTGTTGAATATATATAATATAGGGGGTGTTTGGATCTGATTCTTAAAACTACTTCTGCTTCAGGGAGCAGAAGTAGAAGTTGGGGGTGATCAGCTTCTGAAAACCGGTTATGATTCTGCTTCTACTTTAAAAAAGAAGCAGAAGCGGAATCAGTTCCAACACCCCCATATAACAGAATTGCGAAATTTTTAAGCAAAGAGCAGTCTAATGGTAAATGGCATTTTAGCTGGAAAATGTGATTTGACTATTTTTAGCATTTTCAATAAGTGAAAGAACTGTTTGGTAAATAGTTGTTCGGCACTAGCGTTTTTGGACGAAAACGCTGAAATAGAAACACTGCAAATATGAGAGTTTTGAATTAGCATTTTGAAATATGGTTTTTTCTATTAATTTTATGGCCAAACAGCTAAATTACCAAACATGTTCTGACTAGGGGTGTAAATGAGTCAAGCCGCTCGCGAGCTGCTCATGGATCACTCGGGAAAAGCACGACTCGAGTTCGGTCATATTAAGCTCGACTCGAGTTCAATTCGGCTCGACTCGAATAGTTAACAAGCTCATTTCAAGCCTATTCATTTTAGGCTCGTGGCTCGTGAGCCGGCTCGCAAGCCTTTGTGTCATATTTTATACGTAGTATATTTTGTATATAATTATATATGTAATACGTAGTATGTAATAGTTATATATGTACTTTTTTGGAATATATATTCTAATTTAAGACTATTCCATTTTCAATCCTTTTCACACAATATAATATAATACTACCTCCGTCCCAAAATGAACTTCCCATTTCGAATTACGATGCTTGACCGGCGATAAAGCAACTCGATCCCTGTTCATACTCAGATTACTTTTAGTAAATAAAATTTACATATTGAGAAACTACATTAAAACCGCTACAAAGGCTGATAAAAAAAATTGATAAAAAATTGATATATAAAACATAAGATTAAGAGTAATTTAAGTTGACCATGTGAATAGTGACTGTGAAGTTCATTTTGGAACGGAGGGAGTAGTAACAATTACAAAATAATAACATGTACGGAGTATTATTATTATAACCAAACTAATTTGAAAGTTTTGTGATTTCTTTTTAGAGACTTGTTTTTTTTTCTACACCTTTTTTACTTTTAATATTTATATTTTTAATTTTTAATAAAGTTTTGATTTTTTATTATTACAATTTTATATTTTTTATTAACATAGATTAGAAAAAATTTCACTTTTGGTCCCATGACTATTATAGCACTTCCACATTTAGTCCCTTACTTTCAGATTGTCCACATTTAGTCCGTGACCATTATCCCCTCACCACCCCTCGTCCTTCCGGCCAAAATTCTGGCAAATTTAATGCGGATTTTAGGTATTAAAAACCAAATTTAATGCAAAGACTGATATGAAAAACCCAATCTGATACAAAATTAAATGCAAAGACTGATTCTGATGCTGAGAAGTGGACTAAATTTGCCGGAATTTTGGCCGGAAGGACCGAGGGTGGTGAGGGGATAATGGTCACGGACTAAATGTGGACAATCTGAAAGTAAGGGACTAAATGTGGAAGTTGTATAATAATCATAAGACCAAAAGTGGAATTTTTTCATAAATAAAATGTAGTCAAAGTAAAGTACATGAATAGTGTATATATTCCAATGTCGCAATTAATGTGATACGGAGGATACTATTAAAAGAATGAAACGCTAAAAATTCACAAAATAATTTTGTTATGCAATTTTCATATTTAGGTGATTTTCTCATATTTTATTTGTAGTTGCATTTTTACACACACATAATAATTTGATCATCTTTTTTTCATAGTTGTACATATATATCTTAAACTAAATCTAATCAAACAATATTAATAATATGATTTGCTATTTGTTAAATATGTGACTAAATCTCTCCATACGTCAGTGCATGTAAATAGAGATTTATAGAGGTTTATGTGCAGTTCAAAGACTATTTGTATTTCAATTATATTAGTCTACTGAAAACTGGCAATTAGGAATCTTCTCTAAATGATTTTTTTATAGGTCAGAGCAACACGTACGATTGGTGACAGTTAAAGATAAATCAAATATTTAATTGTCAAATAATAAATAATGCTTTGTATGAATATTATTATCTGGAGTCAACCCGTAAAGATAAATGTAAATCATTATTGGAAAAAAAGGTTTACTAAATATGATCAAGGTTGCTTTTCAACGTTCTAAATGCAAGATTGTTGATTGATTTTTCCTTTTTGTCATATATATATGCGTGTATTACGTTAATTTGGTTTTGGACCAAGTGCAATTTGATTAACGTGATTTGCTCTACCAATCATCTGGATAGCAATTTCACATTTGAAATAACATACGGAGTAAAATATTTCGACGTTTAAAATTGAAAACTTTACTTCTAAATTAGACTGCTTTCTAATTAAACTCAAGTTATATCACGTTAATATATTAACACTCATTAATTACAATCGCGTTGACCTCATGATATAAAAATTCTTAAATCAATACTCCATTTTATTATGGAGATAATTATATACTCTAGTAATGACTAGAACTCCACAGCTTTTTCGATCTATGACCATACTAGTTTTTTCATAAAATAATATTTAAATTTGTACTCCGTACTACTCCGTATTTAATTAATATATATTAATAAGTTAATAAATAATTTTTATGGACTAATATGTCCTTAGGTTATTATTATAAAAGCCTAACTTCCTACTTCTTCTCTCAAACCCCGGGCGTAGCAGCTCGTCGCTAGTATGTTACTGTTCACCCGCCTCCCATCGCCCGCATCCAGCCGCACGGCTGCCCGCCGTCCCATAGCACCACCACCAGCCGTCCCGCAACACCACTGCCCGCTATCACACAGCACCACCTCTTGCCGTTGCACAACACCATCGCTCCCCGTCCCATATCACCACCGCCCGCCCTCTAGCCGAACTCCTTCCCCCTTTTCTTCTTTTTTGTATATTTTGAGATTAGGGTTCACAATGTGCCCGAAGAACGGCATTGGACCGCCGCTCAAACGTCTCAGATTCTTCTACCAAGGCCGTCAAGGTTGAAGGTGAACCCAAATTTGAAGACAACCCCTAGATTGTAAACGATTGAAGGCACTGTGTAGTGAATTCTAGGACAATGACTAGTGAACGCAATTAGTATTTTGTACTCCGTATATAATGTAGTGAATATGACAAGTACAATAACATAACAAGAAATGTCGTGATAATACTACTATATTTTTATTTTCGAAATAGGAGTTATTACTATTTTTATATTGTTCAATGTTACAAAACTCAATGCGTTAAAAAGACTAATTAAAAGTATATAAACGAGATAAAAAATATTATAGAAAAAAGTGTATGATTATGAAAATATACACTATAAAAATAGTGTATGAATATATAAAATATTCCAGAAAAAATAAATTCAGTTGTAATTTAGGTCGAAGATTAATAAAAAAAGTAAAATACAATAACTTATTGTATGTGGATTAATAAAAATTTGTAATGAAATGGTAAAGAAAAGAAAGATAAATTCTATTGTAATTTAATTAGTCAATGATAAAGAAAATGAAATTGCAATTAAACTTTTAGTATTTTGATGAAGATAGAAGAAGAAAAAAAATTGAAGAAAGGAAAAATAAAGAAAGATTACAGAATTGAAGGAGAAGAGAGAAATAGTTGATGATGCATGTAAAATGAAAAGGAATGATGTTGTATTTGGGATCGATATATCATGCGCATTGTATAACGTTTCCGCCGTATAATTTGTGATGCTCATGGTGCTAATCCTAATTCGTTATCGGTTTGTATTAAAATATCAGTATCTTCTACCTCTTTCTTGTGGATCTGTTCGGCGGACTCCTTCGCCGGTTTTTCTAGTACCGGCCTTCTAGTTGATTTTCTACTTTAAGTACCCTCTTCTCTTTCTTCATCAAAATATATACTAAGAATTTAACCATGATTATGTTCTTATCCATATTCATCTTAAATTACGAATGAATTTAAAGTTTTCTTCTTCTTTATCAATTCACAACTAAAAGTTTTTATCTAAAACAAAAAATCATGTTTGTATAATTGTATTGTTAAAAACTCTTCTTCGAGCTCTGCCTTATATGTTCTAGTTAGTGTGCCTTATGTTTTAAATCTAACAAAGTTATCGTGTGTGTTCCATAAGTTATGTAAATATAAAATGCACTATACTTACATATTTTTCATGCTTAATTTACATTTTCTATGAAATCATTTACATCTAATATATACCTTTTATATCACTGAATAATATATACTTCACAAAAATATATCATACTTACGTACTTTTCACACTTTATTTACACTATTTTATATGATCATTTACACCTATTTTTGATTAAAAAGCATTATTACACTCACATAGAATGTACTAGATTCACAAGTTTGACACATGTAGTTTACGTTTGTGAAAGTTCTATAAATGTGAGTAAGACATAGCATAGTTTCCCAAATAAGTGTCATTAATTCCTTCTCAAAATAGGACACATTCAATTATATTCACTTCTATTTTGTGAAGTTTAATTGTCTTAGTTTTTAAAAGAACTAAATAAATTTTATTTTGAGAAGAAAACATATTTAGATCTTTTTGAGAACTTTGTCTATATTTCACTATCATTGTCCGCAATTTCTTTTACATATTGTATAAAGTCATTTACATCAAATATTTAAATTTTGTATCAATAAATAATATTACATTTACAAGTTGATGACATGTTAAAACATTCATACCACCATTGGCCTCCCTGCTCTTTTACATTATATTTATACATCGTTTCTAAAATTCATTACAAATATACTATGTAATACTTTAAAACACACAAAACCATAAACTAGGGGTTTTAATTAAATTAAAAATTAAAAAGAACTCCAAAAACTTTATAAAAGAATTTCATTAGTTTTCTGGCACATATTGTTAGATAGGTAATCTTGAAGTTTCTTGTGAAAATTTGAGGTTTGCATCCGTATTTACTAGTGTTGGACTCGGTCCACAATTCTAGACCGATTAGGAACGCAATCGGCAGGTTCTTAGGACCGGACCATAACTGATCGATTTTTTTGTTTATATCTTTGGACCGGCACAGACCCGTCCCCACCCGCACCGGTCCCGGTTAGGGTATTGGGGACTAGAACCGCTAGGCCCGGTCCCGGTTCAGCCTTTTTGGTTTTGTATTTCAAAGCGGAGAAGCATTTTAGAAGAGGTAAACATCCATTTAAAAGCTAAAGAAGGTAGAGAAGTGGTTAGGAGGGCTTAAAATATATATATATAAAAAAACTAATTGGAATATCCGGAGCTGGTCTCGATTCCACATAGCCACTCAGGACCGACTGGTCTGGGACCGAAAACGGATCGGGACTATCTGATATTTACTTTGAAATTGGAATTTGTGATCTATTTTTAAATTATTTTGGTTTTGATTATATTTGGAGATTATTAAGCTTTGAAATATTTATTAAGCTTTGAAATATTACAACTCAATATTTGTAAAGTCAAATATAGTTATGTGTTTTTTGTTTATTATTCTATATTGTATTAATGCTAAAATAGGTTAAAGTTGATTCAAATATAAGAGAAAATCCAAATTCATATAGATGGTGTAGATTATATACGTAGTATGTATTAATGCTATTTCTGATCCGTGCAATGAATTCTTTTTAGAAATTAAGAAGTAAATGATATGTGTAATTTAATGTCACACAAATATTTATGTTTTGAATTCACTTCACATTATCTAAAATCTGTTTTACTAGTATGTATGGTATTTAATACCATTTGATATCTTACAAAATCGAGCACTAATTATCTAGCAAAGATAAATTAAACGTCATAATATAAGGATTTTTATGTGTAGTAATAAGTATCCTAAGTCATAAACCAATGATTTTTTTATTGTTTATTTGTGCAAAGCAATGATAAAGTATCTTAAATGGTTCTCCTATTAAATACTCCGTATTATATTATGTAAGAATATACATTAATTTTGGAAGCTAAAAGTCGGGGGCCAAACACATATACATATCTAATTAAATATTAAAATCTTACGATAATATTACAAATATAATAGAAAAATTTGAAATTGAAGAGCTCCCCCTAAATCCGTCCATTTAAATGTTGAAGTAGGTTAGTGTGCTTGCAGTTTGTTCGATCTTAGGACCTAGTTAAGCTCCTAGGGGTTAATTTAACATACATATAGGTGAGGTGATGATATGAGGTCAAATTGGATGGCCGAAGTTGCATATGGATCTAAAGTCTTGCATAAACATACATGTATGCATTTGTACTTATCGAAGTTTGGAACTAGGGTTTCATCTATATATAGATAGTATATACTATCAATTCAATCAGCATTTGTCTTTTTTTTTTAGTTTACTAATAAGCTAAGCCAAGCAAAGCATTAATTGGTAGGGATTGTGAGATATAGAGGTAGCAGGGTGGGTGAAACGTAATGAATTGAGGTGGGCTGGGGTGGGCTTACTTGGAAGATCCCATGGATCATATTTGTAGATGTCAAGCTCCTTGATGATTTCGATAGTGATGTTGTGGTTGGCCACCTTTCTTCTCAGGTAGAACCCCACCAGCTCTTCGTCAGTGGGATGAAAGCGGAAGCCCGGCAGCACGCCTCCGTCTTCCTCCCCATCTCCTTTTCCGCACTCCACTTTCTCATACGCTCCCATCGATCTCCAGGCCGTCCACCACTACCTCCTCTCTCTATCTATCTATCTATCTATCTATCTATATATATATATATATATATATATATATATATATATATATATATATATATATATATATATATATATATATATATATATATATATATATATATATATATATATATTCTTGCTGCCTCCGATCGATCGATGATAATTAAATTATTATATGTATGTATGTATGGGGATCGATCCACCGGGAAATTACAGCTAGATGATGATAATTAATTAATTGTATTCAGATCAAGACACGCTTCACCTTTATAGACCTAAATTACGAGGGTGGTGGGCGCCCACCTCGCTCATATTTCTCCCGCAAATTATATGCCACACTCTTCGCGCGTCTACCATATGAATATATGGTACTACCGGTAAAATTGTAATTTCTTACTTTACTATACGGAATAGATTCATTTAGAGTTCTCCCTCTCCTTTCTCGCCCGTTGAATATTTATGCACTTTTACCTTCCCTATTTTTCTCTTTAATTCAATAGTTATCAATTTCTTCTTTGATCGATTTGAATTCTAAATGGGAATCATAATTTGATTAAAACATTTTCGTCTCTTTATTTCATTAATAGTCATTTCTAATTTCCTTTAAATTATCTCCTAAATAGGAATACACATCAACTATTCGGAACAAAATTGATTTCATCATCATACATATTGTCCCACCTAGATCTGTCATGTTCTCCCCACGTTGTATCACCCCTATTTACATTTATCATCATATAAACACAAACATATAGATATAGAATCTAGATCAAATCAGAATATGATCTCATGAGAGAAATGTGAATGAATCTTAAACGTTGGAATTGAGAGTCGGGCATTACCCGAAACTATATTGAATATCAACTATTGTGGATAAATTAAAAACACACGGTGTACGTCGTTTTTATAAATAAATTAAATTTGTGTGTTATTGCAAAGTGTATCGTTATCAGGGCGGCCTTAGAGAATTGGAGGCCCTAGACAAAAGAGTACTGAAAAATTATACAAACAAAAATAATAAACAAAAAATACTTTAAAAACAAATGTTTCAATGTTAAAATTACTTTAAAAACAAATGTTTATATATGACGAATGTTTAAAAACAAATGTTTAAAAATATTAATTTGACCAAATTTTGTGGGATGAGGATAATAGTTTTATATATACTTCAAAATTTCCTTTTCTCAATAGAAAACGTTATAAATCTGTTTGTACTCTAAACAAAATTTTAAACAATCGGCACATCAATAAAAATAAATGATACAATATTCTCTACTTTGATGTTTCAAGAAAGATTTGAATATTTTAAGAAAAAATAAATATGATTTTTAGACATGAAGAGATTTTTTGTAATCAATTACAATAGTTTTAGTACATTATGATTACTATCTTTTGGAGTATTATTTAAGAAAAATATCAAAACAAATTCTCTAATAAAAAAAATGTAGCATAACTTACGAATAAATTTAATAATATAAGAACATAAATTAATCAGTATAACTTTTTCACGTGTCTATAAATCATTTAGCATTATAAATCAATTATTTGAAATAGAATACTAAAATTTTTTAACAACTAAATAAAAAAGTTAACAAACTCGACTGATTCAAAAGTTAAAGGTAGTACATTTTAGTATTTACTATTTATGTCATTACTCTTTATTTATTTATTTATTTATTTATTTATGTTTTTACTTATTTATTTATTTATTTATTTATTTACTTATTTATTTATTCATTCATTTATTTGTTTGTTTGTTTTTTTGTTTGTTTGTTTGTTTAATGATTTATTTATTTATTTATTTATTCATTCGTTTATTTATTTATTTATTTATTTGTTTTTTTGTTTGTTTATTAATTGATTTATATATTTATTATTTATTTATTTATTTATTTATTTACTTATTTATTTATTTATTCATTCTTTCATTCTTTCATTTTTATATACTTATTTATTTATTTATTTATGTATTATTTATTTATTTATTGATTTATTTATTTATTTATTTTATTATTTATTTATATATTTACTTGGAAGATCCCATGGGTCATATTGGTATATGTCAAGCTGCTTGATGATTTCGATATTGATGTTGTGGTTGGCCACCTTTCTTGTGAGTTAGAACCCACCAGCTCTTCGTCAGTGGGATGAAAGTGGAAGCGCGGCAGCACGCCTCCTCCTACTTCTTCCTCCCCATCTCTTTTTCTGCACTCCACTTTCTCATATGTCCCCATCTCCACCACTAGCACCGATCGGTCGATGATAATTACCGCGTGTGCGTGCGTCTGAGCTCGAACATGTATAATTATTATATGTATGTATGTATGGGGATCGATCCACCCGGACATTACAGATGATGATAATTAATTAATTAATTAATTAATTGTAATCAGATCAACACACGTTTCACCATTATAGACCTAAATTACGGGGATGGTGGGCGCCCACCTCTCAAATATTTCTCTCACAAATTATGTCTCACTCTCCGTCTACCATATGAATATATGGTACTACCGGTAAAATTGTAATTTCTTACAAGTTTCTGTTTGTACTTATTATACAGAATAGATTCATTTAGACCTCTCCCTCTCCTTTCTCTGTCGTTGAATATTGGTAAATTACATCCTACAGCCGGTTGTACCGTGCGCACGGTACAATCGAGCTTTTTTAACTTTTTTACGCTTCTCGCCCTTGCACAATCTTCGCACCAGACCTTCGCACAGGACTTTGCAGACGTTTTTGGACCGGATTTCGCACAAGACTTCGCATCTCTCTTATTCAATCTCGTTGGGCTTCTTCGATCTGATTTCACACCAGCAGCTCGTTGCCAAAGTTCACCACTCGCCCCTTTCTTCACCAGCAGCTCTGCATTTCTTTTCGGCGTAATTGCCGGTGTAGTTTTGCTGTTTGAGCATGTGATTTTAGGAGACAAGGGAAGTCTACTTCGTTGCGGAGGAATCCTTGCTGCTGTTAATCTCAAATGAGTTTTACATTAAACTCAAATGAGTATACGCCTAAAAGGAATTAATGAACATATACAAATGAATGTTGTACACATTAGAAATGAGTTTTATGTTCACATCAAATGAGTACAACGTTCAAAATAAATGAGCATACACAAATGAGCTTTTGAATTTTTGGATACTCATTTTCTAAGTTATAAATACTCATTTGATACCACTTTATGCTCATTTTAAAATGTTTCACATTTCAAACGTATCATACTAGATTAGATTCACATATTGAAAAATAAATAAACAAAAGTGAATTGGAAATTTGGAAGATAGGGAGCAGAGAACACTGATGCTCATTGGTGGGCTCCTAATACTAAAAAACAAACCTAATGCTCATCAAATTTGCATCAATGCTCATTTTAGGGAATCCTTGATTTTCATCAAAATTACAAAACTGCCACCGGCTATACGGTGGGCACCGTACAGCCAGTTGTATAGTATATACTTCCTTGAATATTCCTGCACTTCTACCTTCTCTATTTTTCTCTTTAATTCAATGGTTATCAATTTCTTCTTTTGTTCATTTGAATTCTAAAAACATTAAAGGGAATCATAATTTGATTAAAACATTTTCATCTCTTTATTTCACTAATAGTCATTACTAATTTCCTTTAAAATATCTCCTAAATAGGAATGCCCATTTATCACCACCTAGATCTATCATATTCTCCCCCCGCTATATCACCACTATTTACATTTATCATCATATAAACACAAACAGCTAGATATAGAATCTGGATAAGAACAAAATATGATCTCACGAGACGTCACTCACAATTCAACGTGACTTAATCATACAAGGTTTTCATGAACATAGTTCATACCATACTCAGTAAGTAAACATACATAACAACATCACAATTCGGAATGAATGAATAATGGAAATATTCAATAGTCAAACATGGGCCACACATGGCCAAAATGTGGACTCGCAGAACCAAAACAATGTATTCATTATATAAATATCCATGAGCATAGTTTGTAGTTTAAAACAGTAAAAGAAACATGAACCACGTCTTCCTTTGGATCACTCCACCGAGCAAAGGTGCAGATAGAAAGCTTTAGCTTCAACTTGAAATACTGGGGGGGGGGGGGGGGGGGGGCGAAGGGGTCAGCACGCAAATATCGAGCGAGCAGTAGGCTAAATGTAGTATGACTAACGTTTCAAGTATAAGACCCAAACATAGAGTGATACATACACATATAGTCTTTTCCCCAAAGTTATGAAATACATATGAGTATATATACACTTGGAAATACCTGAACCGTGGGTCATTTTTTATTTGGGAAAATATTAGTAGTCAATATCCTTGCCTTAAAATCCCAACTCACCTATCACCTATGAGTGTATAGGACTCCTCATGTCCAATCAGATATTATAAGGACGCCACCTGGTTCTGAATCACTAAATCACAGTCTATGAGTTTTGACGACAGTCTAGACCCTGTGTACTCCACCAATTTATGTTCTGAGTTTTGAGGAAAGTCTAGTCTCTAGGTCCTCGACCATTTATACTAACCAAGTTTTGAGGACAGATCAGTCTTTGGGTACTCTACCAATTATATCAAACTAATTTTGAGGACAGTCTAGTCCATGGGTTCTCCGCCAATTATATATCCGAGTTTTGAGGACAGTACCATCCTTAGGTACTCCACCAATATTTATTCATTTTTATGATCTACCACCTACCATGCATACATAAGGTTTACATCATAATCATTTGTCAAGATTAAACCAAGTCTTATAGTCTAAGCATAACATTCCATGCAAACCATGCATTAAAATTAACATTTGAGCAAAACAGCACCAAACAGGCACCGGTTCAGACCTAACCGGCGCCGGTTCATAATTATTTTATTTCAAACTGGGCACCCCGTACCCAATTCGGCGCCGATTCTACCCAAAACTGGCAATGGTTGCCCCTGGACAACCGGTCAATGTTTCGTTGACCCGCCATTTCAAGTCCA